TTTATCTGAATATGTTTTATTCAGGACACATTTTCAAAGGCAAACAGGAGACAAGGCCCTGATACCCGATGAATGACTGTGCAAGTTAGATACCTAACATAAAATTTCTGTACTTAAAAGCCTTCTTCACAATGACTAATAAAACATCCTTGTGTTACTCTTCATATGAACGCACTTTCCTCTGTCTCTTTGCTGGCTTAATGAAGACCAGGGATTGTTGAAGCTGTTTGGGGGAACGTAGTCCATGGAGCGTCAGATCCAAACTGTGATGCAATGCAATAGCTGGATCATTGGGAAGGAGCACGACACAAAACTCTCAGTTTAAATGAAAGGAATTATTTGGGTAAGAGAGAAATAGAAATATCACCCTCTTTGGAAATGGCATCCTGCAGACAGACAGCTTTTCTGGTGCCTTTTGGGACCTTCTCATGTGCTGCAAAGAAGATATACTGCCTTCACTTATTCCTGGGCAGATAATTTAAAGTCAAACATGTGCACACCAAGAGATGCATATGCAATTTAAAATGTAGCTCCTTCTGGGTGCTGGGCTCATGTCTTTAAGTGGCATAAATCCACATGGCTACACTGTTCATGAGTAGGCTTCACTGCAGCTCAAGGTAATACCCGATTTTTCTCCCCAGTTTTGCCCATAGCCCACTCTCTATGAATGTTTTGTGACCCCAGCTGGGGACAGAACAAAGTGCAGCTGCCTCAGACGCTGGACAATACCGTCTTTTTTTCAGCAGTACGAGCACTATTTCCCAAGCATCCCTGCTGCCAGTCTGGTTTCCCGGTCCACAGCTCCATTTCTAATGGAGAAGGCCCTACTTCTGCAATTGAATTTCTGAATTTCAGACTGACCCTCCCCTGCAAACCTATTTGAGGTCATGGCCTCTGATTTGGAAACAGCTAAGTTAGATGTTAGATGGGGCGGTTATACACCCCCATATATATTTTTCCAGTCCTTCTCATATCAAATCTTATTACTTGTATTAGCCCCAGACCTATCAGCTCCTTTTAGTAATGCTCCAAAACTTGCGGTTTCGCTGGCATATTGTGCCTTGGGGTTTCACATGATACCAAGTATCATAAAACTATCACCTTTTCTCAAATTGAAGATGAAAAGGCTGGGGTTCCGCTTCCCTGCCTCATTCTTCAAGCTCTAACCTCTCTCCCATGCCATGGTCTTTTCCATATTCCTCTTTTTACCTGTGCAGTTTTCCCTGATGGCAACATTAAGCCATGTTTAAAAATATATTTACATATTTCAAAAACATAAAAGTGATCTAACTTCTCAAGAAAAGCCACACACAGAACTTCTTTTGGCTCCATTTTTACTCAACTTTGTCTTGGTTGTAGTTAGTGGTTTGGCAGATCTTTGTTTATTTTTGGATCAAACACTCACGCCAGGGAACACAAAGGGTCCTGGAATGAAATTCAGAGGAAGACCTCAAAGAGGGGTATTTACTTTTGTTAAAAATAGTTCAGCCCATCTCTATCTGTATTGAATTTGGCAAAAGAATGGGTATGATTTTCATTTTTTTGCAACGCTTCATTTTAAACATTGATAAAAATAGTCAATAACAAAAAAGTTAGTTTATTTTTACTGCAATGCAAATTTTTTCTCTTGCTGTTCAAGTCCTAGATGACAAATATAGGCCATGGGGATGGCATATTTAGAGGAAAAATGAGAAGACTTTTCCCTCTCATTTCCGCTAAATGGAACATGTAACCGAAAGCCTGTCAACCTCTTTATGTGACACCTTCTCTCTTTCTCCTTCCCATACACCACCTCCAGTCCCATCTTCACACCTGTCTCAATGCTCACGTCTGTGCTGGCAACTTTCTCAATTACCTTGTGTTTCTCTCAGGAGGATTTGTCTTCATAAGTGACTTTTGCACTTCCATTAGCTAGTATCCCATCCAACAGCATAGCCCTGGGCTTAGCTTGAGAAGAGCACCTCCCGAGTTTTCAATTTACTCTTAGATCATAATTTTCTCTACTTAACGTGATCCTTCTCCTGGCAACTTTGGCACCTGGTAATAATACCATGAAGGATGTGGCGGAGAAAGTGCTTTTTGTGGAGAACAGAAGGTGGTGTTCTGAGCAAGCACGGGCAAGTGGAGCTTTGGCCCATGCATGCTCTCCGACAGGGTTCCCCCATCCTCAAGGCAAGTGGAACGCAAAACATTCTGGTGTCAGCCATCAACTGTGAAAAAACATCAAAGAACCACATAATCATACAGATTTACACCTCTTAAGGACATAAGCTAGCACCTAGAATGAGCTACAGATTAATTCAGTATACAGCTTTTCGGACATCCATATTTGACTTCAAATTAGTAAAAAAGTTAGCAATTCTGTCAGGTACCTCTAAGAAAACTCAAGCTCCACAATCAGCTGTGACTAGAAGTTGTAGTCCTACGAAGGGCTGAAGGATTGTGCTATATAGGACCATGCAAGATTGTGCATGGTGCTGTACAAACACAGCAGAACAAAAGGCAATCCTTGCCCTGAAGGGTTTTGATGAGAGAAGAAAAGATTCTTTGCAAAAAAGCCTCACCCCAAACACTCAGGTGTACAGTAATGAGTCATCTGGCCAAATGTTGTAGTGGTACCTGAAAAGGAGGTGGTTTCTCAGGCCTGTAGCAAAAAACCTCCTGCTACAGAGCATTTAGAGCACTTGAACTGCACTATGAGGCAGGGCATGCATTAAAAAAATAACCCTAATGCTTCTT